TAAACTCCGAGCTGTATTTGCACGCAGCCACGTTGATCGGCCGAAGAGCTGTCGGTCGATAGCGTTGGGTCCAGGGTCAATCAAAAATTGCAGCGTGAATTGTTTCGCGTGTTTCCGATGGAACTCACTTGCCCGACCCCGAACGGCAACAACAATAGATTTTTCAGCACTGCGACAAAGGTGTTGCTCATTAGCTGATTCAGGACCAGCGGCGATAGGTACGCTGGTAATCATCCCGAATTCGTTGTATATCGACCGAAAGCGCACCATGAAATCATCCACGGATACCGCTCCATCCCTGTCGAGGTCCATCATCTGCAGCACAGAGCAAGCTTCCTGCTCCGCAATATCCACCTTTTCGAACAAAGTAGCGAAGTGGTCGACAATAGCTGTGATTGGAACACACGCCTGTAAAATTTTGCATCAGCGTGTGACCGCGGAAACCAGCGATTTGCCTAAGAGCGAAGTGCCCTGCTTATCGAGCTTGAATAGTCGATGGGCGTTTTCGTATCATTCATTCCCTCTAAGGTCCGAACCCCCAACCGACCTTGAGCCACTCGTCCACGACCTCGCACAGCACCCGAGCGCTCGCGTGATCCCCTCGGTTGGGCTCCGCCAGGAAGTCGAACAGCTCCCGCAGCTGGTCGTCCCTTGAGGTACAGCAGAGCGGCAAACGGACAACGGCTTCACGTCCTACCTTCATTTTAATGGTGGTTATTTTCCTCGAAGGTTGTGATCTTTTTTCCGAAGTTCAAATTTGTTGTGCGGGAGCAGGAAATTTCTACGAACGAAGTAAACGATTAGACGAATCCCGCAACATAAAGTGCCGGTTTCATTGCGATATTGCTCAAATATTGTAGTGATATCTGGACAGTGTGTCGAAAATGTTTGGACCAAAGCGGCTGCGGACAAACTTAACATACAACATCATGTCAACATAACACACGAACAACTAGTCGGTCGCTCCTCGACCACTTATTTCTCAGAACCCAATAGCCTCTCCTCCTGTCTCTCACTCTGTCCCTCTCCATCTGGGCATCCCACCCTCGCCACCGTTTAGTCTACCTTGATCGCATTTTTTTACCTTTTCCCGAGTTTCTTCTTGATCTTCGACCGGAGCTTTCCGGCCGTCTCCCTCCTCTCGTCCTCGCTCATCAGATTTCCTTCCAAAAACGCATCTACGGAAATGCCTCCCTATCGAGACGTCAATATCCATCGCAAGCACACCAATGTATCGTGCAGTCATGTCAGATTTGTTTGAAAAATCAATTATTGGTATCCATCGGTGTCATTGTTTTCACTCAAAAAAATAGACATCCTCCAATATCACCGCGGGGCGCAAACGAGCGGTAGCGAGCATACGTTGCACAGAGAAAATTGGAGGTAGATTACGGGGGGAAGCGCCCAAGGTTTATCAACGTCGCCCTCATCGCCAAAGGTATCTCAGCCGTGTAAATGCACCTGCCATCATCGTCATGTATTTCTAAGGCACGGCGCTACGTTCTCGAAGCAAGTCTACGCTGTCGAAACTGCCGAGCGCAACCCGAAGGATATCCGCCGATAATAATTCCGGGCGGATTGGAGAAGGTCCTGGAGACCACGGTGTGAAACACTCGTCGCCAAGAGACTAAACAACAACACAGGGCTGCGTAGCAAAGCTCGGTTAGTCGCGCCATGAAGTAACCTATGCGCTGACTAAGCATGCTTTGGAATGGACCGTACATCTATTCAGATCACTTGACCATCGGAGCTTTTGACGCGCCCAAGGGGAGAGTAGGTTGTAATGGACTAATAAGAGTCATTTCGTGAGATAGAAACGGGAGGTCGTATTCTCACGATCGTTCGTGGTTGCGTCTTCAAAAGGGGGGCTGTATTTCCATGTCCATCGTCATCAAACTCCCTGAAATGGGTGGCGGGAGGCATGATACATGTCGCGTTCTGGACTATTTCAGCACCTGCACTCCAGAAGCCTTCTGAAACCAGTCGAAAGCATCGTCCAGCTCCTTGGGGGTCAGTCCATCCTCCCCCAGGATCTCAGCAATCGCCTGAAGCGGTGTGCGGAGTGTGTGGATCGCGCATGTGCGCACGATCAACTGTGACACACATCTACGTAGTTCCAGCAGGGCTTGCCCAAGCCCACTGTTCGTGTGAGCGAACTCTTCGTTATTATCTACAACCAAAGAGCAGACCACTGAAGGGGGCACAGCGAGGGTGAGCAGTTGGTATATAGCCCATACAAGGGATCACGGTCAGCGATTTCGGTACCTGGGCGAAGGTTTTCCTGGATAACATTCCTCCTCCCTCGGCGTACTTGTCGTAAAGGTGAACCACGTACTCATCCACGCCCAAAAACCTGTGCGGTATTGCGCGACAATACAGCGGTACCACCCACACCGAGCAAAGATAAGTCGAAAAAACCACATATGTTCGCTGTATAGGCAACCGTGACAAAGGTACCGCAAGTCTGAGGGCCCTCACACCTGCAAAGAGGTGTCCTTGTGCTTGGTATTACAGCAGTATTCCTGACCCCCCACGAAAATTTGTCATGACTTCCTCAAACTCCGTCATCCACCATCCAGGTGACACATGTAGTGAATACCATGCCATGATGATCGCAACGAGTCGTGAGCGACATTGTGGAATGTCGTTCAAAATGCGTTTTACGGACAGCCTTTCGGCGGCTTTAGTCTATTCAAGCACACGCTCCGTTCCATCTGTACGCTTTGCACGCAATCGGCATTTTCGCCCCAGTGGTCTAGTGGGTAGCCTCGTAGCCTGCTAAGGGCCAGGTCGTGGGTTCGAGTCCCGACAGGGTGAGTTTTTTCGGGCTAATCAAATCCTGGTCTCCGTTGGAAGCGACACGCTGCAAAGCTCGTTGTAAGTAAACTTGATCGACTTCAGGCAAAAACCGCAGGAGGGGGTCCCCCCCCCCCCCCCTCCTATGTGACCCCGGTTGGGTCGTCTAGCTCGTAGAAGTGGAGGATAGGGGGCCAGAGGGGCAGACGACAGAATCCAATAATGGGAGAAAAACAAGCAACAAACAACAAGCAACCATGTCTTCAAGAGGGACTACAACGGATCGAGCGCACCAATCAATGAAGACACACACACCTACCCTCCTTCTTCCTTCGGGGCATGCGCCCTCACAGCGTCCCGGATGGTCCTGTGGGAAACTTCGCCGCTTTGGGCAGGTCCCCCACGCCTGCCACCAAGATCACCGCCTGGTGCCGTCGATCCTGATAGCGCTGCTGCCGATGCTGTTGCTGCGTAAGAGGGTCGCTTTGTGGTCGACATGGCCCGGCCGTCGCCGCCGCCACTGCTACGACGCCTCCTACGGTTCGCAGTCGCTGTCGTCGTCGTGGCCCCGTGGCTAATGAAGGCTGTCATTGTCGCCGAGTTCCTTCGTTTGTGCGATCCCGAACCCCGTCTACTGCTGGGATCCCCCTGCTGCTTTGACCCCCGGCGCCTTGTTGACGTCGATTCCAGCTGGGCTGCGGTGCCCGTGGTCGTGCTTGCATTTTTCACCATTCCGCTGCAAGCAGAGAAGAGTTGCTCCTTGTGCTGCTGCTGCTGCTAGTACTACTGAAATGGTTTGGTTTAGATCTCCTTCTCATCAATGAGGTGCGTTGGTAGCATCATACGGTGTGGGGTGCCTCGCACCCGAGAGCTTTGATGGTCTGTGTCTTTCCCTTTCGTCGGGACAGGATTGCAGGAATATTTGTCAAACCGTTACATTTTTGGGTTTCGTAATGCAATGGCATGTGTGTTGTTAGCGGGGGGTCGGGAGAAGCCCACCGGGAAAAAAAAAGCAGGCCGGATGGCGCGCAAACCGTCCAATGCACCGTCTTGCTTACGTGCGTAGGTGCGCCCCCGTGTAGTCTCTGTGCATCTAATGCGTGACACCTAAGTCATAGGCACGTTTTTTTTGTCGGCGTGCAGATCATTTTGCCCGTCCGCAACCTCAAGCCGTAGGTAGGTGACGTAAGATACGACACCGCCTGAGCCGATTGATTATCATACCTGAATCTCGGGTACCTCACTCAGCAGAAAGAGTGGCGGTGCCGAAAAGGGTAGCGCTAGAGCCGTCTCATGAAGACCTTTGCGAAAACGTATCGTTTGAGCGACACATCCTCTTTGTCGTGGCGAAGAAATGGAACCTTCAGTCCCAGCGTGTGATATCTGCCGTCACATTTTATGCGGATGTCCTCTCAGCCTACAACGGTGCCGGCCCGCTCATAACAAGCATCCTCGTGCGCGTAAGACACATGTACATGGATCTAATAGCATTTCTAGGCTGCATTACCTCGTCTTCCGTGGCAAGATATCGAGGTTCAGAGGTTTTGACAAAATGATCAAAATGGCGCGAGACATTGGGCTCACAATACTGCTGTAGCTCACACGCATCCAGTCAAACCTCGCCAATCTACAGCCGGCCCGCTCGTAAATAAGAACTTAGTTTGAGAATGGCTCAAAACCTTGCAGCCTCGACGATTGAGAAGAGACTTTTCAAGAATGTGCTCAATCGTCGAGGCTGCAAGGTTTTGAGCCATTCTCAAACTAAGTGCTCCGTATTTACGATCGGGCCGGCTGTAGAATTGTCAATACACACACCAGCGCCGTACCTTAGATGATTGTACAGGGAACGAACGCATCCCAGCTCGGTGTACAGCAGCAGTGGTGGTCCAGAAATACCGTACCGCAGTCCCGAGTAGTGCGGGTCCAGATATTCCGCGGAAAAAAATCGCTCTTCACGGGACTTTAGTCAGACTAGACTATTCTAAAAGGTTAGACTATATATATATTTCGACACTCAATGGTGCGGCGTTCCGTTTCGGTCATGTTTGCCTGTCACTACACCGTGGTACCGAATATCAGGACCGCGACTGCTGCGCGTTCAAATTTGTGAAGGAAGTCGATGACCAATTACCGAGAGATTGCATATGCATGATTGTACGCGAGGTAAGAGAAACATGCAAACTAGTAAGAACGAGTCACGAGACAAGACGGCGTGTGTTTGACGTTTTTACAACACGATTAGACGAAGCTGAACGAGGGAGGTAGCGGCGGTTGTCTAACCGCAACGCACACACAGGTCCTACACAGCAACAACAGCGAATTATGGGCACGACACTGGGAAGTCATGCGATAAAATAAACAACAAATGACGGCATCACCAACGACATCTACATCAACATCAACCAACATCGAGAGCAGCACCCCAGCCCGCTAGCGACACGAGAGGTCCCGCCGTCCGACCCCCGCCCTGTTCCCCCGAACACAAGATGCGGCACCACTAATGTGCGTGCCTAAACTATCTACTGTAACATTTCCCCCCAATATCTCCTGTATGTCACAACCGCTGCTGCTACCCTCATCATGCCTACACAATGAATCTGGCGCGGCATGAAAACTACCCTGGTGGTCAACACGCGAGAACGAACAGCCGAGGAAAGACGCACGGGGCCTGTCGTGCCAAGATCAGAAAGCGCCTAAAGTCCGAGAGAAAGCATGCAAGGCCAGATAGGATTGCTGACAAGGGCACGTCACGCCCATCCCTCGCCTTGGCTAAACCTAACCCTTGCCAGCTACAGCTCCGGATGGATTCACACCGTGTTAACCGATACTATTTTCGATGACCTAAGGAAGAAATATGACCCTGCAAGCCCTCGTTTTCACCCTCTTGCGTGCGCTGCAGAAGACCCGGCATCTACGACAGAGCAGGCGGCTTGCGTGCCAAACTACCCCCGAGCACCGCCGAGTCGAGTGCGCACTGGAGGCGAAGATGTGCCTGCCGCGAGAGGCCAACAGCTGAAGCAAGTCTTCTCCGCCGTACCACATTACAAGATTCAACGCAAAACGACAATAAATAATTCCCACCCCACCCACATAGTCTCGTGGATACCGTAAGTTATAAATGAACGCGTAAATCTCAGAAACCACGTGGCTTTACACAAAGCAGTTGGTTTCGTCCAGATATCAAAACATAGAGAGAAGGCTTCACGCGCGTGCAATTCTTGTTCTTCGCTCCGGCATTCAATCGATCCCTGGGGTTCGCTATCCTTATCGGTACCACCGACAGCGAACCTCGCTGCCACCGGAAAGGCTGGCGGGGGTCTCTCCCATCAAGGCGCTCGAAACCGCTTTCTGTCCAACTGTTCTGTCATCCCCCGAAGGGTGATCGATCAACACACGCGATTTCCATTGACCTCACTGCGCGACGCCTTCCTTCCGACGTTGCACACGCCATGACGCAGGATCGACTGAGTACGCGAAAAAAGGAGAAGATATGGGTGACAGTCCCGCCGACAGTCCCGCCGACTGACCGTCTCGGTCGTACATAAGCAGCTCGCCTCCGGCACTATTGCGATCCCGCCAAATGCAGCTTAGGCACCCGAGATAGAGAGAGAGGAGAGACACAGGAGAGAGAGCGCAGCTGTATCCATCCGCAAAAGCACGCGGAACGACACCTCTGCGCTCCGCCAGCGCCACCACCAGACGCAGCAACGTGCCCCGCTCATCCTGAAGGTTTAGCGCTTCTCCGAGCGGACTTGTCCTAAGGGGGTCGGTCATGTGCAGTGCGGTGGGGTTAGCTTTGAGGTCAGCCTGGCGTGCTGGGCAAGGTGTGGTCCCAATTTCGGGTCCGGCTTGGTGACTTTGGATGGGAAAAAGGTCGTGTGTTGTACCTCGAACGGGTACAAAAGTCGTTCTGTGCATCAAACATTTCCGAAAACAAGTTCAGGCGTGTTAAGTTGCGTCTCACGCCGAGCACGCAAGCAGTCAAACACGCAGCACCAGAATGGAGGGGGAGTGGTCACGAGTTGCCGTCAAAGCGCGTGAGTTCATTCTCCTGACGATGACGCGGGTTGGGGTTGAGTCTGGCTCGATGGCTTGAGCACGAACACCACCCGTAACTTGGCACGGGAAATGTTAATCTTATTTTAATTTTACATCGCTTTTTTTTGTGCACAACGACTGGAGTTAATTTCTTTGCAGTCGCCCGGGTAGACACAACCAAAACCTGCACGTTCGGCTCAAACTCTTTCCCCCGTCTTCTGTTGAGTCAAGAAGGATCTACAACAGCCGCGTTCTCGATACCAAATCCGCGTCCTCCAATAGTGCAAAGTATGCACTATTGGAGGACGTGCATACATACAAATTGGGCCTCTGTGTCGCCCCGGCTGGTGCGTCCAGAACTAATTTATTCTTCCGAAAGCTGCAACGGCCGAACGACCACGACAAATTTGGACGTCAAAACAACAAAAATGGACGCTCCTTTGGCAGTATCCAACGGGGTTTATCCTTGCCCTAGGTGTTGGAACTTCGTTTCCCCTCGCGGCTTTTGGGACACATTTCTAGTCTCCTGCATATATCTTCTGTCTGTCATCTAATAACTCTGGTTTGCGAACACAGCAAATTGGTCCGATTTCCGTTGGGGGAACAGGCAAGTAGCAGGAGGCTCCGCATGAAGGTCCGAAATGACTTCCTGAAATTGTTAAACCACCAGCAACAGCAAGCAACAGCAACAACAACAACAACAACAACAACAACAACAACAACAAAAAACAGCCCCGCTCGGAAAAAAAAAAAAGCAAGCACGCACGCCCTACCCGGTCCACGAAAAAAAACACGCAATCACACCTTTTTGTCCTTCTTGCTGGTGATGTAGTTCGCCAGGGCGGCGTTCGTCTCCACCCCGCTCTCCCCCCCCGCCCCCCCTCCATCCTGCGGGGCCGCCGCGCGAGGCCGTCGGAAGCGCCCGAGCATGGTCGTCCTCCGGTCCTTCTTGGGCTTGCCGTCCGCGATGGATCCGCTGCCGCCGCCGCCACCCCTGCTGCCGCCGCCCCCGTTGTTGCTGACGGACTTGGCCATGTTGGCCACCTTCAGGAGCTCCTCGTCGCCGTCCGCGACCACCTCGCCCACCTCCGTGAGCTCCTGCGGTCGCGAGACGTGGCGTTAAGACACACATCCGTTCATTTTGGTCGTTCAACACGGGTGTCGCGAGACGCTACATAAGGCACTTATCCGTTCGTTTTGGCCATCAATTAGAGCATCGCGAGATGTAACTTATGATATGCACATGCATCCGTTCATTTTGGCCGTCGAAGAGAGTGTTGCGAGATGTTCACGTAAGATGCACGTGCGTTCATTAGCGGTCGAACACGGTTATCGAGAGACGATACATAAGATACACAAATGCACCCGTTCATTTTGGCCGTTGAACACGGATGTTGCGAGACGGTACAAAGAGACAACCAACGGGTTTCGTTCATTGGCCGTCGAACTATTTAGGGCATCACGAGACAAAACAGAATTTGGCTTGAGGGGGACAAACGGTCGAAGGCACATAGCATACTGGCAGGCCGATCACAACAGAAGCAGCATCCTAGCCCTGTCCTTCCAACACAACTCCCACGTGCTAACAGTTGTAAGGTGCCAAAACGACGCAACCCTCCAACGCAGTCACACATTCAAGAATACCGCCAAACCACGACAGCAGAACTACATGCACACAAAAATCGGAAATAGATGAACGCCTCCCTTACCTTCATGCGGTGCTTCGACGAGCCTCTTGAGTGTTTCGTGACACCCTCCTGGGGGGAGCGTCAAGTCAGCGTCAGCGCCAGCGTCCGCGAAACAAAGCACAACAAAAAAAAAAAAGTGAAGGGGNGGGGGGGGGGGGGGGGGGGGGGGGGGGGGGGGGGGGGGGGGGGGGGGGGGGGTAGCGGTGGCAATCAAACAAGACGTAGACTAGCCGCCGCGGCGGCGGCGGCGGCGGCGAACACCGCAAACAAAACAAACAAATAAATAAACAACAAATAAACGAAATTCTAAAAAAAAATCAACAGCAACAACAACGGCGCGACGCATCACAGCGTAAAGAAACAATCAAACCGTCAAACCAAACCACGACAGCATACAGCAAGCAAGCACGCGTAAAAATTGAAATGCACGACCACTACCTACAGTGTTTGTCTGGTCGAGACTTTCAAACGCACGACGTAGCTTAAAAATTGCAAAGGGGGTAACTAAGCACACAAGAGGCAAACGTAACAGCAGCACAGGGTGAAGATTGAGTTTACGGTACAGTTTCTTCGGGGGGCGGGGGGGGGGTACTCATAGTCGTGCATGCCGTAGTCGTTAGACCATTGACCTCGCATCCCTACAAAGCCGGGACGGAGCACGCCGGGTTCTCACCGGACCAGGCTCTCACATCACCAAGCGCGAAGCGCCGTGAGATATTCGGCGAGTCGCATGAA